GCCTGCCTTTAATCTCAAACAGAGGCAGGAGGATCACTGTGAGTTCAAAGCCGTACTAGTATACATAGTAAACTCCAGGACAGCCAGGGCTAAATAGAGAAATGCTGCTTCAAAAACATACACACACAGCAGGTGTGGTGGCCCAAAGCTGTGACTCCAGCACTGGGGGTCAAGACAGGAGGGCCATGGCCAGCCAGAAAAGCCAAAAGCTCTAGGTTCATCAAGAGTTCTTGTCTCAAAAAACAAAGCGCACGCCTTTAATCCCAGCACTCGGGAGGCAGAGGCAGGAGGATCTCTGTGAGTTCAAGATCATTGTGGTCTGCATAGAGAGTTCTAGGACAGCCAGAACTATGGAGAAAGGGGAGAAGCGATGGCAGTGGACAGCCTGATGTCAAGCTCGGGCTCCACACACACTGCAGTAGCAAGACCACCCATGCGCCCACACTACACACACAAAGTAGACGTGTTCAAGAATAATCAGGATTCCCCAGGCCATGGTGGCGCACGCCTTTAATCCCAGCACTTGGGAGGCAGAGCCAGGTGGATCTCTATGAGTTCGAGGCCAGCCTGGTCTACAGAGCAGGATCCAGGACAGCCAGGGCTACACAGAGAAATCTTGTCTTGAAATTAAAAAAAAAAAAAAAAAAGTCAGGATTTGGTAACTAATTGGCTGATGGGAAGCATGGGGTAGAGGAGTGTCATGCTTAATTCCTAGACTGGTAGCTGGAATAGCTGTGTCTGGATACTCATTTGGGGAGGATAGTCCTGGAGGAGGAGAATACTTGAAGGGATGGTACTTTGGGACATGCTGTATGCTTTTATATGGTGGTGTCAGTGAGGGATTTGCCGGGTGGTAGCTCAGAGGCTGCACTAGAAGACCGAGCATTTGAGAGTTGGTGACAGACAGTTGGTACAGAAGGATGGGCCCAGATGGGACCCTGCAGAGAGGAAGCGGCAGAGCCAGGAGAATCAGAGGGCAGCAGAAAGGGAGCAGAGGCAGGGACCGAGGAAGAAATACCTGAGAAAGGAGAGAACACCAGAGGCTGGGCGCTCAGGAGACAGAGGTGGCGAACCAGACATGAAGTGTCTGAGTTAAATTGGGGCGTTACATGGTTCGACCTCAGTAGACTAAAACCTGAAAAGTAGCAGGTAACCTTAGCCTGAGAAAGTAGGGAAAAGATGGATATTCAACAGGACTTGGTTGATTGTTTGGGTCTGGATAAGGGTGAGAGAGGGCAAAATCAAGGGGACAAGTTTCAGACATGGTGGCTGAGTGAGTGGGATGCGTGTGCGGGGGATGTGGGGAGGATGTGAGTTTGGGGTAGCTGCATTCTGAAGTTCTAAAGAACTTCAGAGGACTGGCTGACATTTGGTTCTCTGAGTCTTGAACCATTCTTGCCATCTGCCCATTCCTGATTCCCAAGGAGAGTGTGGGGGAGTCAAAAGCATGGAGATGAGGGCTGGAGATCTGGCTGGGCAGTAAAGAGCACTTGCTGCTTTTGCAGTGGACACAGGGTCAGTTCCCAGCACCCACACGGTGGCCTATAACTCCACTTCTAGTAGATCTGGAGCCCTCTTCTGACCTCCCTGAGCATGGACCTTTGTGCCTATACATGCATGAAGGCAAACACTCATGCACAGAACATTTTTTAAAAATCCTTTTTTATTCTCCCCTGAGACAGGGTTTCTCTGTGTAGCCCTGGCTGTCCTAGAATTGGCTCTGTAGACCAGGCTGGCCTCAAACTCCCAGAGATCCACCTGCCTCTGCCTCTGCTGAGATTAAAGGCGTGCACCACCACCACCGTCCAGCTAATAAATCTTTTTAAAAAGCCGGTAGATGAATTAAGCCGAAAAGTATTTACCTAGCACTTGCTGAATGCAGACATCTTCCTAGGCACTAGGACCCACCAAAGGATAAGAGAGCCAGCAAGGAACAGCAAGGGCGTGGGGCAGAGGGAGGGAGTGGGGAGTGGTGAGGTAGAAGAGTGTGAGGGCCGGACTGTGTGGAGCTCCATGGGCCGGAGGATGACAGAGGTCTTCATGGTCCAGGCTGCTGGAAAGGCAGGGCCTGGGCAAGAGGAGAGAATCCCATGTAGGATTTCCCCTCTATATAGGCTCCAGAAGCAGAAAAAAAGTCCCTTTGTACAAAGGGTGGGTGGCCTACCATGGATGGGGGCAGGGCTGTGCTTGGTCCTGCGACCTTCTTCCTTATGAGGCTGGACAATGGGGCCCCTTGTGAGTGGAGTTGGGGGCCAAATAACCCCCTCAGTGATGAGATTCCTTAGCCAGGAAGCATGTGACTCTTCTTGCCACAGGAGCTGGGGGAGGGGCACAGCTCCCTTTGGAAGGCTTTTGGAGACAGTGCTGTCCCCTGTCTGGGGCCGGAGGAGGTAGAAGTGGGTGGCCAAGGGAGGGACTCTGCTTGCAGGAGCTGGGAGGGCAGCATCCATAGCTGGTCCAACCTCAGGAGGGAGAGGGGGGCTGCTGCCCCCGGCCCAGTGGGTGGAGCCGGCCAGAGACCTGGCAATTCTGTCGTGTGTCCCTCAGAAGTGACAGCATGGAGCTGGAGAGGATCGTCAGTTCAGCGCTCCTTGCTTTCGTGCAGACACACCTCCCGGAGGCGGACGTCAGGTAAGGGCTGCTCCTCCTGAAGGGTCAGGCCACGTTCTCAGGGAGTGTTGCAGACAATGCTCTGGGCACTGGCCAGTGACAAGGTGGTTTACAAAGTGTTTAACCTGGTTCTGAGGTGGAACTGAACCAGGTCCTCTGCAAGAATACCAACACTCGCTGGGTGGTGGTGGTGGTGGTGGTGGTGGTGGTGGTGGTGCATGCCTTTAATCCCAGGCAGAGGCAGGTGGATCTCTGAGTTTGAGGCCAGCCTGGTCTACAGAGTGAGTATCAGGACAGCCAAGGCTACACAAAGAAACCCTGTCTCAAAAAACTAAAACCAAACAAACAAAAAGAATAGCAAGCATTCTTAACCACCAAGCCATCTCTCCAACCCCAGCTTATGTGTTCAAGATCATTTATGTGTGTGTGTGTGCGGGTCCCATGAGGCCAGAAGAGGGTGTCAGAGACCAGGGAGCTGGAAGTACAGGCAGCTGTGAGCTACTTCACCCGGGTGCTGGGAACCGAACTTGGGTCCTCGAAAGAGCTGCAAATGCTCTTAACTACTGAGCCATCTCTCCTGCCTGTGGGGGAGAGCTGAGTTTTATTTGCTTAGATGGTCTTCCCTCTCATACTGTGTCTATCATCTATACTGGACTGCTCGAAAACCAAAGCCAACGGAGTTGGAAGGAGATCCTCTGGCCTCAAGGACCGAGCTGACCCATGGGCACCCATGAAACTGAGGACTGGTCAGATTGGGTGGGGATGCTGGAAATATCCAGAGTCCTACCAGTAAACTTGTTCTTTTCTGCAGTGGCTTGGATGAGGTCATCTTCTCCTATGTGCTTGGGGTCCTGGAGGACCTGGGCCCCTCAGGGCCCTCCGAGGAGAATTTTGATATGGATGCCTTCACAGAGATGATGGAGGCTTATGTGCCTGGCTTTGCGCACATCCCCAGGTAGGGCCTGGCTGGGGCAGAAAGGAGGTGGGGCTGGCTGGGGTTGGGATAGGGTGGTCCTCACCACCTTCTTTGCCTTTCAGGGGCATAATAGGGGACATGATGCAGAAGCTCTCGGTGCAGCTCAGTGATGCTAGGAACAAAGGTGAGTTTGGGCATGTGGCATTTGGAGGATTCCCACCCCGACCCCAAGCCCTGGCAAATCCGATACCCTCTCTGCCTCTTGAAGAGAACCTGCACCCACAGAGCTCCTGTGTCCAAGGTCAGGTGCCCATTTTTCCAGAGACCCTGAGGCAACCCGAAAAGCTCAAAGAAGAGACCAGGTCTTCTGCTGCTGCTGGGGACACCCAAGATGAGGTTGGTAGAAGGGGGGACCCACGAGGGACCTTGGGGTAGGAAAGGAAGGAGTGGGCCCACCGTGAACATCCGTGCCCACAGGCAGCTGGTGCTGAGGAAGAACTTCTGCCGGGAGTAGATGCACTCCTGGAGGTATTCCCTACCTGTTCTGTGGAGCAGGCCCAGTGGGTGTTGGCCAAAGCTCGGGGGGACTTGGAAGAAGCAGTACAGATGCTGGTAGAGGGCAAAGAAGAGGGGCCTCCAGGCTGGGACGGCCCAAATCAGGTATCCTCCCCGCCCCCCAGCAACCTCGGCTCCAAGGTGCCTTCTCGATAAGCACCCACCCCTCCCTGTCCCCATCTGTTGCCCCTCCTGTGGCCACTGGGCCTAGAACAGGTCTCCTGTATCTGCAGGACTTGCCCAGGCGCCTCAGAGGCCCCCAGAAGGATGAACTGAAGTCCTTCATCCTTCAAAAGTAAGCCTGGGCTGCGCTGGGCTGGGCTGGGCCCTGGAGGGTCTTCCCAGGTGGCAGACACTTCATCTAGCCAGTTTTTGGCAGGTACATGATGGTGGATAGTGCAGAGGATCAGAAGACCCACCGGCCCATGGCTCCCAAGGAGGTGAGAGGCTTGGATGCAGTTGGGGGTGTGGACTGAGGGGTACTGACCACTGTTTCAGTCATTCATTCATTGCCTGATTGCCTGACAGGCCCCCAAGAAGCTGATCCGATACATTGACAACCAAGTAGTAAGCACCAAAGGGGAGCGATTCAAAGATGTACGGAACCCTGAGGCCGAGGAGATGAAGGCCACATACATCAACCTCAAGCCAGCCAGAAAGTACCGCTTCCACTGAGGCCCTGGCTGGACTCTGCTGAGCCTTCCAGATCCCAGAGGGATGCAGAAACCCTCCCTCCCGCCCGCCCTCCCGCCGTCCCGTCTCTGTTGCTCTAGTGTTAATCTGTTCTTGGAGCTGAGCACAGTAAAGGTGGTCCAAGGAAGGTGTAAGTTCATTCTGCTCATTTCTGCCACCGGGGCAAGAAGAGTTACAGGTCCGCCTGACCTGTTCCCAGCGTCACGTCCCCTGGGCACCAGGCAAGAAGGGGTAAAAGCTCTTTATTTGAAATTCCAGGGTGATCAGGGCACGCCACAGGCCTCTCAGCCACAGGCCCCCACAGTCCAGTTTCCCTACAGCTCAGCGTCAGGCAGGCCCCGGCTACACAGTCCAGCTGTGCTCCCGCCCGAAGGAAAGTCAGTCAGACCTGCAGGTTGACAAAGGGCGCGAAGCCCGCCATGTCCTGGAGCAGCACCAGGGCCTGGTGCAGGGGTGGCTCCACGTCGATGTCCACACCACGTTTCCGCAAGCGGCTCAGGCTGGGTTCGGCCACATGGTGGCAGTGCCGCACGCGCAGGGAGCGCAGCGCCGGGCAGTACTCCGCCAGGGTCCTGAGGGAGGAGGAGCAGGGTGATGCTGGGTGCAGGAGGCCCTCGCACGGTCTGCAGGGCCAGCCCGCGACACCTGCAGCTGGCTCCAGCACATCCTAGGCCTCCCTCCTGCTCAAGGTCTGCCCCTTTCTCCAGTACCCAAGGAAGGGGGCAGGGATGGAATCCGAGTACCTATCCTTGGTTCTTTCCAGCGTTCCAAGATTACCCCCCTTGTTGCAGAAACGCCAGAATTCAACTTGATGTCACAACTCTCAGTGTGTCAATCTTGGATCAGAAGTTTTTGTTTTGTTTTGTTTAATTATAGGCTTTCTAGCCTAAAAAAATCCCAGAGGTCTATCTGATGGGCCTTTGCCAAGTACAACCCGCCCCCCTATCCCTAGAGTGACTGCCCACCTCCCACCCTAGCGGCCCCATGCCCAGGCACCTGACACCGTCGCTTCCGACCCGAAGGCAGCCTGTGAGGTCGAGGTGCTCGAGTTGCGGGCAGTTTCGAGCCAACTCTTGGACCGCGGTGTCCCCCACATTGGCGTTGACAGCCAACGAGAGGCTGCGGAGGCCCGCGCCGCGTCTCTGCGCCAGGTACACGATGGCCTCGTCCTTGAGCTGGCGACAGGCGGTGAGGTCTAGCTCCTCCAGAGCCGGGCAGCGGTCGGCGAGGCCACGTAGTGCCAGCCCGTCCACCCAGTCACAGTGAGCGAGCGAAAGGCGCTGCAGACGCGGGCAGCCCTCGGCCAGCGCCCCCAGCGCTCGGCGACTCAGTTGGCCGCAGCCGGCCAGCGCCACGCTCCGTAGCTGCGGGTTCCGCGCCAGGACTGGCACCAGGTCCTCGTCCGACAGCCATTCGTGACACGGAGCCAGCGCCAGCTCCTGCAGCCCCTCGGCATCCCGCAGTAGCCGGGCTAAGGCGGCCCGTGGAATCTGTGGACCCACCTGCGGGCGGGAGGCACCGAGACTCAGTCTGTCCCTGGGCCGGGACACTGCCTGGCAGCCGCCTACCTTCAGGACTTGCCACCTGCCCTCCCAGGAGGGACACCAGGCTCCCTCCGGGTCGCTGCCCAGTGCTCGCCCTCTGGAGTCCTCCACCTCGCACCCGGGGTCGCCAAGGGTTTCCAGCGCCGCTGGGGCCGGCCTGGAGGCGGGGCGAGGGTGGGACCCCCGCGGGGGCGGGGCTCCGGCTCACCCTGGCGGGGGCGGGGCTCCGGGCTCCG